ATGTTGGTGACGCGAGATGATGGTGTTTGTGTGTGTGTGTGGCCTATTTAGGTCGAGAGGTGGAGGAGTGGATATGAGTCGCCGATATTGGTGACGTGGAATGAAGGTGCTTGTGTGTGTGTATGGCCTCATGAGGTCGGGAGATGGGGGAAAGAGTATGAGTCGCCGATGTTGGTGACGTGAGTTAATGGATGGTTGTTAGGTGGGTGTGGTTGCTTTGCCGTACCGTTTCCTTGGAATAGGACCTTGACGATTAGTGTAGGGATTGGGGGGGGGGTTCATGAGTTGTTTTGGGGTTGGGTAGAATAAATGCATATAGACATTTCTGGAAATTCTTGTCACTGCATACTGCACTTACAACTTGGTTTTTTATCGTATTGAGTTATGTGAACTCACTTCTCATCATTCACAGGTGGAGTAAGAACGGAGTCGGGATCCGAGCGGCTGGTAACGGAGCCCCGTCGGTAGTGCCATAGGGCACAAGTTTTGTTTGTGATTTAAAGTTGTTTTGAAAGGGTGTTTTAGTATGGGTATTGAACTTCTAGAAATGTTTAATAATGTGTTACTATGTGTTGTAGAGGTGGATATGTATGTGCAATTGATTTGGAGCAATGAATGTGGACAAGTTTCTCTTATGCATGGTTGGAATGATATGGGATTTGTATGTTGAGTCGTATGAGTGCTTTATCTTATACCGTTATGAAAAAAAAAACGGGGTGTTACATGTTATGAGTTACTTCAATAAATTTATAAGTTTTTAAGAGATAATAAAATGTGTTTAGATATTTAATCTATAACGTTTTAAAATAATTAGTATTTAAAAAATATTTATAAGTTAAAATGTTAATAAAATTACTAAAAACAAATAGAAATTAGTATGAACATTTTGGTAAAACATAGAAGATGAAATAGATTATCTTGCATGATTTATAAGATTATTTATGAAATATATTTAAATTTTTTGAAAATATATATTACGTATAATTATTTGTTTCGAATATAAATTTTGAATTAAATTTATATTTTAATAAAGTTAAAAAATTGATGAATTTAATAAAATTATCTACTTTGATGAGAATAAAAAATAAATATTTAACACATAATAAACATGGTTTTTTTTTAATTTTGATAAAGGAATATATGTATTATTTACATTGTATAAATTAATTATAATTATAAATTATGATATAAATATATATATATGAAGTTAAATATGATTTTAAACTTTACAATAAGGATAAAATAAAGTGAAAACTAATAAAAATTAAATATATATATATTTTTTAAATTTTAGGTTTGATAAACCAATCTTATACATAGTTTTGAATTTTTAAATTTGTAAATTATATTCAATCTATTAATTTTTAAAAAGTAAAATCATGTTATCTTTCAATTAATTATAATTACTTTTCTTATAATTACCTCCTCTTAGCTAATTAATTATAATTAAAGCAATAATTTTTTTAATAATAACAACATCATTTATAAGTCTAAATTTAGTCAGGCGGCCCCAGATGACTCTACTTTTCTTCAGCTTCAGCCACCTAGAACCAGACAGAGCCAATTAGTTACCCATAAATAAAAATAATCACACAAATTCTACGTCCCAGAATTTGACCCTTCTTCAAAAGAAGAAAAATTGGAAGGAGGACTGCTGCCACCTAGTTTCTCTCTCTAACTGCAAATTCTTCTCAATCGTTTCGGCCTTCCTGATTTCTTTCTTTTCTGTGTCCGCCTCTGTTTCTTCCCTCTTCGGAAGAAGAGGGAAAAGAAGGGAAGAGAGAGAAAGTGAAGGGAATGGAGAGCACAGCGGCGTGGCAAGGAGTAACCCTTTGTGGAATTGTTTCTTGGATTTTGATTTCTTCATATTTCAATCTGACCCAGAAGCTTAGATCTGTGCTTCAACCTCTGATCACTCACCATGTCGTTACTGGCACCCATCTCATCTTGAAGATCCAGGCATGCAGCCAAAATTACATAATACCCATGTGGTGGTTTTTTTTTTGGGGGTTGATTTCATGTTTTGGTTTGATGGGTTTTTTTTTTTTTTTTTTTTTTTGTTTTTGGGCAGAAATATCAGCATAGTATCTGGGATGCTGTTTTCTCTGGGTTGTCCTGCATTGTTTCTGTGCCTTTTTACACTGCGTTTCTACCTTTACTCTTCTGGGTATATGCTTTCTCTATCCTAAGTTTGGGATGATTAAACTACTAATTCTGCATTTTGAACTATGGTTGTTTTATAATGTAATTCTATATATTGGTATTTTATTGTACAGACTGGACATGGCAAATTGGCTAGGCAGATGACCCTTCTGACGGCGTTCTGTGATTACTTAGGGAACTGTTTAAAGGTAGCACTTTTCATAATTTATGTTATTTTCCTTTTCTGGATGGAGGAAGATGAGCAATAAAGCTTTTTATTTTTTTGGTTTCTGATTGATGTTTTTCATGTATGTTTTAGGATGTGATATCAGCTCCTAGACCCAGTTGCCCTCCAGTTAGGAGGGTAACTGCTACAAAAGATGAGGAAGAAAATGCAATGGAATATGGATTGCCTTCTTCACATACCCTTAATACTGTTTGCTTATCAGGGTAAGCTCCCAATTCTCTCCATTAATGTAGAGCTTATGTTTTTACTGAGCTTAGTGAATGAGAATAGCCTTCTAACTTATTGCTGAAAGATTAAACTTTATAGTGAACACGCCAGATACTCTGTCTTGCAACATTGCAGTTGTAGAATATTCTTGTGTAATTGATGATCTCTTCTTGGCTGGTGATACTCCAGATATCTACTGCATTACGTCCTATCTTATTCCCAAAATGAAAGCATATCCAGGGCGGTTGCTGGAATTATCTTTGTTTGTGTGCTTGTGGGCCTTATTGGTCTAGGTAAGATTTAGTTTTGGATTAGCTGCTGATGCCAATATTACCTCTTTTTTTTTTTTTTTTATCTTTCCAAACAGCAATTTCTTTTGCAGGAAGAATTTACCTTGGCATGCACAGTTTTGTCGACATCATAGGTGGTCTTGCCCTTGGATTAATGATCCTTGCATCTTGGCTCACAGTACACAATTATGTTGACAATTTCATAATCTCTGGAAAAAATGGTATGCATACTCATCATAACATGTCTCTGATTTTAAACTACAAAGGACTTAGTCTCAGCAATCATTTTCCCAACTCTGCTGATTCCTTCAAAATCAATTAACTGCCCTAGAAAGCTAATTAGAGAGAATCTAGGAGGCAATTAAGGTAAAAGAACCCAAATAGACAAAATAGAGGGTTTAAATGCATAAGATCCTCAAAAAGGTCATGGCATATGCAATTAGAAGCACATGGGGCAGGAGGAATGCCTGCAAAACCACATAGCATAAAACTAACAACTCTGGGTGATGCCACTTTATGATAGTTGACGATTATGGGCTTGCTCACTTATGTAAGATACAGATAATAATTGTTGTACTTCTGATTAAATTGATTTGGAGCCTTTAAGCAGTTTGAAGCCTGATTGGTGTTGCAATTGTATTTATTCCAAAAGAGAATGTCAACAAATGAATTCTGTTGAGTGCTTGTTCAAATTCTTATCCTTTTGCTTGACAAGAAGTGGAATTCTATTAATTTATTTTGGTAGAAAGATTTCTATTTGTTTGGACATTTTAAGTTTATCACAATTTATAACTTAGTTCTGATAAGCAAGTTATCACTATTGCAGTTACATCCTTTTGGGCAATTCTGAGTTTCATGCTGCTCTTTGCTTATCCTACTCCTGAGCTTCCAACTCCAAGCTTTGAGTACCACACAGCATTCAATGGTGTTGCATTGGGAATTGTAAGCAATCGTTACCTGATTTTAAGTTAGAAAAAGAATGGCATAATTATGTTATATCCTACAGTAGAAACATCGGTTTCGCTTAGCTCAAATGAGCATTCCATAAACACTAGACCCAAACCGGAGTAATTGAAGTCCAAGTTGGAGAGCTTGTGACACTGCACCACATAGGTGATAGCATAAACTGTCACTATAGAAGAATTATTAGTTTATAGCTTCTTAATTGCTTTCTATAACCAAAATAGCGAAACATCTAATAAATGTCGTGAGATATGAGCTTATATTTTTTCCAAGAAAGGAATTGAGGTTTCTAGATATCTTGCTCATAATATGCCCTAAAAAAATTTAATGTCATGGGTTGAAGATTTGGCAAGTGATTCCTTGAATGTGGTTGGAGACTCCAATGCCTGGTTTTTGTTTCAGACTGTAAAAACAAAGGGACTTAGTAGACATAATTTATATTTCATTGTATAAATCTTATTATAATAATTGACTTTACCAAATTTGTGAAAGCTATTGCGTAATCGAATATGTGGTTATCTATTCATCAAAGAAGAAAATTGGGATTCTTAAAACTATTTACTGGAGCTCAAAAGTATGATATCAACTGTGATATATGCTTCATCATCATTTGCCAAAGTATAAAAAGCAAAATTTGCATATGGCATGGATGGAAATAGAGGGGGGGTTTTTTTGGGAGCTGATGGGAAATAGAGCTTTTGCATTCTGCTTACTGTTACGAAGTACTGAAAAGAATTTTCATAACAGTAAGACTTGAGGGCATAAGCATCGAGTCAGTCAAAAATATCTTGCAAGGTGAAATTGTATCTCGGTGTGTATGGCCTGGGATTTATTTTGAGTCTACTTCTAAAAACATATGATAATGTATTGGTTTTGCTTAACAACTAGAAGTTCAACATTAAGGATGTTTTATAGTGTTCGCATTGTGTGGGTGAAAGGGCATTAATACAGTAGCTGAATCTAAGAGATGCAACTACTTGAATCAGCTCGAGGTTAGATAGAGGATAAAACTTCAGAGGTTGACAATTATAGATTAGATGAGACCCAACAAATTTATGTAGCTCGTTGAGTTGGACTTATGTATATATATATATATAGGAAGTGTTGGAGGAAGAACAGCTTTAAAAAGATTATTAAAAGATTATCTTCTTGTATTGCCAATTCGTTTCTTGAATTATTCATGCAACTAAGATGACAATGTTATCCAGGTGTCCGGGATCCAGCTAACATACCACCAGTTTCACCATGAAGCAGTTCCGCGTATTTTTACTCCACAACTGACAATACCTGCCTTTTTGGGGAGAGTACTTGTTGGGATACCAACAATACTCATTGTGAAGTTCTGCAGCAAATCTCTCGCAAAATGGATTCTTCCTATCGTAGCGAATACCTTGGGCATCCCAATAAAATCGTCAGGTTATATCCCCATGCTTAAGGAACCCGTTACTGGAAAAAGATCAAATGAAATAAAGCAATCAAATTATCTCCAGAATCTGTTTGTGTACTGCAACCAGGATTCATTTGATGTTGATACAGGTATTAGATTTGTCCAATACGCAGGTCTTGCATGGTCAGTGGTTGATCTGGTCCCTTCTCTTTTCTCTCATCTGAGTTTATAATGTTCGGAATGTATCAACAAATTTCAGGTGGAATGTACTATGTTTATCATGTAGACATATATTCTCGATTAATGAAGCATAATCATTTTTTTTTCCTATACAAAGACTCTTAAGAGTATGTATTTATTAAGAACTGACTTCTAATACAAGAAAAAGAACTCAAAAACACAATGAAACTGAGTAATTGATGGGAAAATCGATCAAGTGATCTCGATATTTTGTTCATTTAAGTTTTGACATAAATTTTTAACCATTTTGGCGTCTGACAAATACGAAACAGTTGTAGGATTTAGAACAGGAAGAATTCCAACGTGCTAAAATGTTAGTATTGCTTAATTCTACCAAAAATAAAATAAAATAAAATTGTTGGACTGAAACCTGCATTGCTTGTTTGGCATGAATTGAAAAACATGGCTGTTCAGCCAAACACATCTTTTTGGCATAACTTAGCATCATAATTAATCATTATAAAGTCCTAAGGGCTATACAATGATAAGCCAATTCAAGAGAAACTCGCAATCTTACAACAAATCAAATGCAGAAATTTCCAACAAAAATGGCAGGGATCCAACTCCATGAGCAACTGAAGTCGGGTTCTACATCAAGGCAAGAGATTTTCAAATGAAAATTTGACTTACATATCTTAGTTTCACTAAGGACACAACTCAAGCAGTGATTCAGATGCATGAAGGAGCTAGGAAGAGAAATAAGCACCCATTTATACCATTAAAAAGTTGTAACGAACATTCCAATGACAATAAAATGCTGTTGAAGAAAAAAAAAACATCCTAACAGAGGCATCACAGAAGAAAATTTTGGCCCAAGCTGAACTACAGCCTAAATTAAGGTTCAAGTTGAGTTTCAAACCAAGATCAGACATGACAGCATTGGAGAAAATCAAATTTAAACATTCAGATATTTGACTCGACTTGTCATCAACCCTAATTGTCCCGGTGAATATGAGACAAACTAGATTAGAACATCACATCATCAGTTCAATAAAAATGAAGCAAATGTAAACAAAAGACAGTGATCACCCAATAGACATAAATCCTTTTCCTCTTTAGGTCCCATAAGGATATAATAAGAGAGCGAGGAAGAAAGAGAAAAGGGATGATAAACAAAATAGAAGCAGAATATCTACACAATTAACACATCCTGGTGCTGTCAATCTCATCAGATAGGCAAGCTCTCAGCAAAAATCCATCAAGCTTTCTAGAGTAAGCTAAATCAAATGCATCTTCTTTGGCTATATATTTTACACGCTTTAGATTGAACTTGCCATCAACCAGACAAAGGCCTGCTAAAATGATCAAAAGCCAGCTAAATTTGAGGAGAGGAAGAAGCAGGAAGCATTGCAGAGTAAACGAAACTGGACTAGTGAAGGCAACCGCTTCAAAGGAAGTAATCAGGTGTCCTACGGGTGACATCAGGTTCGCCTCTCCTAGGAGCTGGTTCAAACTGCATCCAAATAACTTCAGAAAATTCATCTCATAACTTTAGAAATTTCACACATGCACAGAATGAAGCAGATGTTCCAAAACCTCCCATTAAGGGTTTTGCCTTCAAACATAGCAAACATCAATTGGAAAAAGACACTGATGATGCGAGTGAGACAAACCTGAATAAATGTGTGGCCCTTGCAATCATCAACTTCCAAAATAGAGGCCATATTTCCACAACGATAACAATAATTAGGTGCGCTGAATATGGTAACCACCTTTTGTTCCTGCCCCAAGGAAAACAATTCATGTTCAAAACCAAAATCGAGAACCCCTGTATACTGAAGTAGTAGGCCGAAAAGAAGACCCAGGGTAGAATCACATTACATGTGCCCAATTAAACCCATCCATGACCAGCTGATGAGCTCTAGCAATCAACTTTAAGTTGTTTGTGTGATTGAATTGTTCAGATATATCCTACAAAATCAGATGAAACAAATAGAAGAAAGCAAACTTAAAAAGAGAACCGTGGGAAACGGAGAGTGGAAAAAATAGCAACCTCTGCAACTTGAAAGCTTATTAATAATAACCTGGCCAAAAGTGTATCCAGCACCACGAGGTGATATTCCCCAACCACATCGATCATCTGGGTCAGACCATAATAAATCACACATCGGGCCTTCATGCGGAACTTCTTGAACACGATCAAAGTTCCTTACATTGTCTAGGGTCTCAATGGATGGGGACAATCCACCATGCAAGCAAAATATTTCTGATTCAACCTGTAACACACTAATGATCAGCAATGTTCAAATAATAATTAAAACCTTCAACTAACATGGTTAAAATTGAAGCAGAATAACCTTCAATTAACACGGTTATGATTTGGCAGAATAAGGCAGATTACACTTAAGAAATTCTACTATTCACAACCATCAAAATCACTGCAACAAAGATGATCACAAGTCTATACCGTCAATCAGCTTCCTAGAAGACACAAATTAGCAAACACCAATAACTTATCTCGGTTTTCTTACCCTCCTCCAAAAACTTTTTTTTTAAAGAACTTCTCCAAAAACCATTATCTTTCATCCGATAATTAAATGGATGTATTATCAGAAACTCATCAATCTTCAAATATGCCAAATACCATTTTGACTGAGTTTTCTCAGCAGTAGCCTTCTAGCTTCCCAAACGCCAAGAGCAAAGCTGAAAAATGATTCCATAAGAATCATATATGCCTTCTTGTAGGTGCATTGCCTTACCACTAGCCCAGCTAAATTATTGGCAAGAACGTGGGGGATGTAATGCATTGCATCAGAAAGTCAAGAAAGTAGTACTAATGCTTTTCCATAGATGCAACATCTTTTCACATTGAAAGATCTATCGACTACGAAAAGCAATTTCAGGAACTGTAAAGAGGCCTAAAAAAGAATTGGATTTAAGTTCGTTAGCTATGCACCAAAACCAAGTCAATGACAAAGTGAATTACTTTAGCAATAAATTCTGAAGCAAATGAGTGTACTTAAAGAGCATAACCTAAACAAATAGATAGCCCAACTGCTAATATTAAGAACTTTGAAATCCTCAGTTTCAAGGGCAGTTCCCTATGGCAAATTCAAGCCTGGTAGTTGAGCTCATACAAACTCCTCTGGCATTTGTTCCCTAGAAGAAGTTTGTCACATAGGTTGGCCCTTCTCACCTTTTCTCATAGGCCAACAATTGGTACACTCCCCAATTTTTTTTTATCATTGCAAATCCAAGTGTATATCATTTGAAATAGAACTAGCAAACACCAGTCGTCAAATACTAACCAAGGCAGTCAATGGAAAATAATCAAAAAGGTCTGTGAAGATCTTCCAAACATTTGCATTGCCATACCTGTAAATAAATCATATAATAAATGATTATTACTATTAATACATAGAAGAATTTGCATGGCAGCAAGGACAGATATATCAAGCGGCCACACAAGTTCATCTAACAAAGAAGACGATACCATCAGTATCTCAACCTGCTCAAAAGATTGAATATTAGAAAAAGAAAAGGATAATTGAGGTGGAAGTCCCTAGGTTTTATATGGATGGTACTTGATACATCGGAAGTGTTATTTAGGAAATTTTATCCTTAAATTTCAATTTGACACGGTCAAAATTTAGTAAATCCTATTTTACTTTAGAAAGAAAAAATATTATAAGAAACTGCATCAAGTCTTTTCAATGTGCAAACCATGTTATAATTATCCAAGTTATGGTGTATCAAAAAATTGTAAGTTGTAGATAAGTATCAGGGCATTGTTAGCAACATGATGAACATTTCAACTTCATCATAATAATTGATAAAAATTTCTCTAAGAAAAACTGTGACAGGAACAATAACAAGTAATAAAAAAGAAACATACTAAAAAAAGGACACAAATAAGTTCTACACAAGGAATTCATAATAAGCTAGGAGGTAAACAGAAGATTATTGGATAAAAATTGACAGACATATACATGCAAATAAAACTTACTTTCGCAGACATTCATCATAAAATCCATAAACCTGAGTAATCTGCCAAAAGGGAATGAATAAGGCAATGATTAGCATAATATTCACTGCAAAAGTCTATGATCCAAAAGTCACATGATAATGCTAAAATGGAAACTTAAATATACAAGAACAAATATATCTGGTAGGACATTGAAAACATCATGCTACTGGAATCAGAGATATGCATAAAAATTTACCCTCGCATCATTATTCATATCCAACCGTATACTGGATTCACCAAGGGAAGAAAAAGAAATAAAGTAAACAAAATAAAGAACAAATGAGCATACCTGACGACTTTCATGGTTTCCTCTAAGAATAGTAATCCTCTGTGGATAACGCACTTTCAGCGCCACTAAAAGCTGAATACCAAACAAACTATTATCATCAAACAACTTAAAGTTTTAACTCATGCAAAGGACGCAAACACAATGAGTAATATCAAAATGGCCTGGAATCTTATGTCCTTTTTTTGAATTTTATGTCCTAAAATACAGAAATAAAGAAACTGAGCGAGGAGAAAGAGGGCCTAACATGCATAGAAGTCAACATGGCCTAAACCTCAAATTCACAACTCTAACACACTTCAAAGATACAAAATTCTGACACTCAAATTCACAACTCTAAAACACATACTCACACACATGCACATGAAAGAAGGTGCAAAATACTGTAACCTACAACTTGAAGAAGAATATCAGTAAAGGGGAAGGACAGTAGCAAATGGGAAATGGGTCATTGCAAATAGCTTAAATTCTCAATCTACAAAATCTTTGCTGATTGAAGATTCACTCATCCTGTGCTCCCAGATATGAAGTCTGTCTACTAAGTCAACAAAGCACAAGATAATCATATTCAAATCCAAGAATGGCTATTCTCCACATATCAAGTTGTTGCTAGCATTATGGAATTTGTTGAGAGACATCACCATGGTTCTCTTATTCTAAGGAGAGAAAAAGCATTTAGAAGAAAGCACAATTCTAATACGGAATTGGTGCAGTGGAAGTTTTGTTTGAACTCTCAAAAAATGCTCGAACTTCAAAGAATAATGCTGAATTGTATTAAGTTCTATCTAAACTTGTTACAAATAATCCCTTTATAAGGTTTGTAACAAGAACCCGACTAGAAGTAGGAAATACTAAGGAAAGTATAAAACTAAAATAAATCTTAGATTTGAACTAGAAAAGACCAAAAATAATAAAATAATAACACTTAGAATTGAAATAGGAATAACATTTAGAATTGGACTAAGAAAATTGTGCTGCATTAGGAATATAGTTAAAATCTTTATGGCAGGAAAAAGAAAAAGGAAAAGGAAATTTACATACCGTAACAGTTTCAACAGAATAATAGCCACGATCCACATAATCTCCCATAAACAAGTAATTGGTATCTGGACACTGTCCATTAGAATGAAAAGTCATAGAATTAGAATTTTGACTTAAGGAGAAAGGCAGTTCAACATAAGAAAGTGACTAAAAATATCTATTACAGCAAAAAAATTGAAAAAAAATAAATACCAAATAAAAGAAACAAGTCTAGAGTTCTGCACAGTACATTTCAATCTTCCACACATCTAAAGACACAATGGGGATAAAATTCGAAAGCAATTAGAAGAACCAAAGAAATTCTATTTGGGGTCAGTCGCATGGAATATTACTTAAGTACAGGGTGAGTTGCAATTTCGTTGCTGAATTTTAAAATGTTCTATTTGCCACCAATGTATTGTGTCATTTCAATTTCATGAATCTGTCACTACATATTGAATTAAACCATTAAATTTCCTGTTAGTGTCCACCAATCACCTGTTTGGGTATCGTAAATAAGTTGCTTTGGGATCTAACTAGTGATACTTGCTTCAACTCCATGAGTATGTTGTTAACAAAGCATCCGACCATACATGGTGAGGATTTAGAGAACCTTATAGATACTTTCTTTACTGGTTTTGTGATTTTACACGGGTGGCACCACCTAGGTTTTTGTCTCCTAAAAGCAATTATTATCAGACCCATCAACACATAAACTGGTTGCAAACAGTTAGCGTTGTGGTCAGTTGTGACTGACCACTTGCAGTTGCTGTTTATAAGACAAAACCACCAGATATGACCACTCAATATGTTGGTGGGTGACATGTCACAAATTTTCTGGTATGATAGTCGTCCATGTAGGGGGCAATTACAAATTGTGATATGTATCAGACTAGTTTAATGCTTAGTGACGACAAATGATGACACTGAAATGATTCAAGACCAAAATATAACACTAGATAGTTGGATAATGAAGTTAAAATCACCCTATACTCAATTGCCCTCCTGTTTAATTTAAGTTTTGATCTTGTGATTGACTTTATGCACCCAGCTGATTAGGACCAACCTTAATCAGAAGAAAACGATCCAGGTATAATCATAAGGAACATTTTCTAATAAAATGAAGTTGATAACCAACTAAAAAATAACCAAAACAATTCCAGTTCAGGACTCTGAAAGACAAAGAGGAAAGGAAATAAAACTTACATATCATTTATTGCTTGAGTGAAGAAACAAAAGTATCCAAGCAACACTAAACGACCAGTAGTCATTTTAACAGGTACAATTTACTAACTATAATACCTCCATAACACTTCAACCTTCAAAGCATTTCTTTTCCAGGTCTCAACTAATAATTTTAGATGACCTAAGCTGAAACATAAGAACCAAATAAGAAAAGGACATAGTTAGAGCTGATACCTTTCCTCCAATTCGAAAAAGTTCAGCAAGATCATGAAACTGCCCATGAATATCGCCACAAATTGTTACAGGGCTTTTCACAGGCTGTAGTACAGAAATATTGAAGAAAATTAATTTTCATCCACAGAAAGATGAGGAAGTAGAAATGATAAGATGAATTGCAGGAAAATACAGGTTTGACAATTGCCAGGAACCATATTTGATAGATGAATAAAAATCTTCAAATGAATGATTTTCCCGTGGCCAGGAAGACATAAGAAATATAGTTCCAAGAGCACTCATTTAACCCACTGTTAGAAACAAATCAGAAACAAAAATATTTCTAACAGAAAGATTTTTTTAACAGCAGAAAATGTAAGCTGTAGAAAGGATAAAGGCTGTAGCAAACCTGGACATTGCTTTCTTCCATTAGTATCTCCTTTGCTTTCTCACATAACACTCGAACCTACAGCATAGAATTAAAACAAGAATGTGCATGAATCCATCTCTCTTAATTACAAGAAGAAAGGAGAAGGGCAGCCTAGAAGCTGTACTAAAAACAAGGGACTATTCAATTGCCACATTGACATTATTGCAATTAAAGCACGCAAAAATATTAAACAGGAAGCTCAAGAGGAAAATGAAATGCAACAAGATCTTTTCCCCTGTGCGGTTTTAGTTCTGAGACTTTTCATTGTACCTTATGGCTTTCATGATTCAAATGTGAACTGGCTGCCGGGTTTCATGATAATCAAATAGCAAGCTCTTTATGAAATGAAATGATAATAGAAAACCCACTGGCTTCAAACTTTTAAAGATCCTGAACTATAAAGATCTTCGAACTTTTAAAACTAACTGGCTTCGAATAGCAACCTCTTTATCCTCCCTTTTCCACATCCTGAACTATAAAGATCTTCACTGGCTTCAAATTTTTAATGCTAAAGTTAAGCAGGTAATTCATTTGACTGGATCTTGGAGGGAAATGCTGCTTTTCTTGTTGCAGATGCTAAACCAAGTGCTTCTGATTTTTAAGATTCACCCTTTTCTAAAAGCAGGTTATTTCTCTTCTCCCTCATACTTTAAGAAAAAATTTTAGACCCGAAAAATGTGCTAATTTTAGAAATTACAAAGAATCTAATACGACCCAAACCCCACCAACCTAGCTAGCAGCCAGAATAATGCATTAAACAGGTGAATATATGTATACAGAAAATTGAACCCAGCATGAAAATACTGGAGTTAAAAAATATCTAAAGATTCTTCACTGCACAAAACAATCCAGAATTGTTTATCAGGCATCACAGAAACAACTTCACACCACTGAAATACTAGAACTTAAGTTCAACAAAAAATCCTCAAAAAAAAGCTTGATCCTTAAGCCAATTGCTCGCTCCTTAGCATCTTGTATCTAATGTCTGGTACCATAACGGCAATGAAACATATTTACACACCTTAGACTCAAGGACAACACGTATTCATTATAACTCCAATTTTCTTAAACGGCAATGAAACATATTTATGCACCTTAGACTCAAGGACAACACGTATTCATTACAACTCCACTTTCCTTAAACGGCAATGAAACATATTTACACACCTTAGACTCAAGAACAACGCGTATTCATTATAACTCCGCTTTCCTTAAACGAATTTTTTTCTAAAAGAAGGTAACTACAGCTCCACTTGATAAAGTTCTATCCTTAAAGCCAATTTCTCGCTCCTTAGCATCTTATATCTAATATCTTGTACCATACCGGCAATGAAACATATTTACACACCTTAGACTCAAGAACAACACGTATTCATTATAACTCCACTTCCCTTAAACGGATTTTTTTCTAAAAGAAAGTAACTACAGCTCCACTTGATAAAGTCATATTCAGCAGTTAACTGAACCTACTAAAGAATTTCATCCCCTCGTAGTCCTCCACCGTTTCAATGCTTCTTACGATATTCATTTACTTCTACTACTCTGCAGAGCAGGCCTATGGAAACACGATAGACAAATTTCCATTAATCCAAGACTGTACTTCCTTTGTCGTAATTTTT